CGTTGCCGGTCCTGGTCCGGTATGGGCGCAACACTGAGGGTTGCGATCCATTGCCGGACACGGAAAAAGACAAAAAAAAAATTTATTTTGTTAAGTCTCAAAGAGTAATAGGATATTGCAAACTAAAAATAAAACATAATTTCATGAAAAACCTGTCTTGCAGTTTATAACAGGAAGGTAGGGAAAATGTGAAGAAATAGTAATAAAACATAGTTTCATGAAAAACCTGTCTTGCAGTTTATAACAGGAAGGTAGGGAAAATGTGAAGAAATAGTGGAGAGTCAGTTTATTTTCCAGGGACGTTTAGTGACCCACCAAGAAAGCTCCAGGCTTGAGATTGTAATCACCCCAGAGAGTCTCTTCTCTATGGGTAACGGTATCAATAACAACTTTCCCTCAAGCTACTAGCACAGCCTATTGGCACTAGTGTCCCAAGAGTGTTCAGTTTTGTCTTATTAAATGGCCTGTTTTGTCACAAACACATTTAATTAACTCTTATTTACTATCTTGAAGGATCTTTGTTACAAAGACCGGCACTGGCATGAAGGATGCTTCAAGTGCACCAAATGTAATCACTCTTTGGTGGAAAAGCCTTTTGCTGCCAAGGATGAGCGCCTGCTGTGCACGGAGTGCTTCTCTAACGAGTGCTCCTCTAAGTGCTTCCACTGCAAGAGGACCATCATGCCTGGTAAGATCTCAAGGGAGCTCTGCTCTCCAAAGCGCTGCAGTGCTTCTCCCTAAGTGCCAGCAGCTCACAAAACCCTGGTTCTGAAAACGACATCTTTCTTGCTCTCTCTTGATCTCATTTAGTGTGCTTTAGAAATAAACAAATTGTTCACTCATCATTACTGAGGGTAAGGGGGGTGCTGGCTGGTAAGGGAATAGGAACCGTTGACCTTAGTGTTATAACACTACGCTCTAACCAACTGAGCTAAGCAGCCAACCAAAGTTCATTATTTTTGAACAGGTAAATTACAATGTTCTGTGTATTTTTATAAAGTCTAATTCACAGAAACATTTTGAATCTGAATCTGAACCACAGAATAAACAGAAAATTTATACCAATAACACTACCTTAAATGCCCGGTCTTAGGCATAACTGATGACATCAGAAAGAATGACACATCGTAGGAGATTGGGCCATCATTTTGCAGCTCCACGCAAACTGGTTTGAGGGTCAGTTATCATTATTCTCTCATAGAAAAAATGAGGGTCCATATAAATCATTCCACTTTTGGCAAGCACTCATCCTTATAACAGATGATCCCAACTTACTATGGTTCAACTCTGACGGTGTGAAAGTGACCCACAGTCAGTAGAAACTACTTCAAGTAGCCAAGCAACCATTCTGTTTTTCACTTTTAGCACAGTATTAAATGAAACATATATGTGATATTCAACACTTCATTATAAAATAGGCTTTGTGTTAGATGATTTACCCACCTGTAGGCTAATGTAAGTGTTCTGAGCATATTTAAGGTAGGCCAGGCTAAGTGATGATGTTTGGTAGGTTAGGTGTATTAAATGCATTTTAACTCAATAATATTTTCAGCTTATAATGGATTTATCAGGATGTAACCTCACTGTAAGTTGAGGAGCATCTGTATTTTGATCCTCTTCTCAATCCCTGTGAACAGCAGCATGGGAACATGATTCTCTCTCTCTCTCTCTCTTTCTCATTTTCTTATTATGGATTCAAAGAATTCCTAAGGGGCTATAACCACACAACATAAATCTCAGGAGCTGCCCAGGCATTCCTAATCTCCCCGTAATGATTATCATGGCCCAATTTATCTAAACCACATGCAGCCATTTGGAGTCTCCACTTAAAGTACTTTCCCAGGATTCAAAGAATTCCTAAGGGGCTATAACCACACAACATAAATCTCAGGAGCTGCCCAGGCATTCCTAATCTCCCCGTAATGATTATTATGGCCCAATTTATCTAAACCACATGCAGCCATTTGGAGTCTCCACTTAAAGTACTTTCCCATCTCCAAATTGTAGCTTATGCAGAGCTTGAGTTTTCAGTGACAGAGTGATTTGCTGTTATCACAGCTGAACTCCAGTAATCTTTTCTTCCCCAGATTAATGTTTCTGAAACTGACAAAATGCTATTTTTCTAAAGAAAAAAAAATTAGTTTATCACCTTAACTTGAAAATATATGTATTTTAATTTGATCTATATTTGCTTAAATAAAATAAGATTACGCTTGACTTGTACTAACACATTCTTACTTTTGGAGTACAGGTTCACGCAAAATGGAATTTAAGGGAAACTACTGGCATGAAACCTGCTTTGTGTGTGAGCATTGCCGACAACCAATAGGAGCGAAGCCTCTGATCTCCAAAGACAGTGGCAATTATTGTGTGCCATGTTTTGAGAAGGAGTTTGCTCCTTACTGCAACTTTTGTAAGAAGGTAATTATCTAAAGGGGATGAAGCTTGTGGAGCCTTTCAGACTGCTGCTTTTTAGCTGAGCCCTACATTTGGAATTAACTGATACTATTGTGTTATGTCTGTTTTGAACTCCAACATGTGCAGAACCTCTAGCCGTCACAGTAGGGGTGGCTGTCTATTTCCTCAGCCATATAATTCCACCCAGAACATGAATTTAGTATTCCGTACAACTCAAGCGATTTGATAGTCCAGTTCCATTCACTGCCTTTATACAGATTTCATGTATTCTGGGAGAGGTCCGTCTTTGAATGCAGAGTTTTTCTTAGAAAATAACTTTTGATCTATCCAGTGTTAACCATTTCAGAGAAATAAGAATTTGCCTCAGAGTGACTAAGGGAACCGATTTAAACAAGACGTTTAACTCCTCATGTTATGTCCCACCAACACAAATGTGCTCTTGGCTGGAAGCTTCTGTATTTCCTATGAGTAGATCAGTAGGCTCAAAAGAGTGATAAGATCATGAGGGAAATTCAGTAGACATAAGGTCAGAAAGATGACTAAGAGCTGCAAGTTCCTTCACTTCCAGTTCTGGGGTATCATGTAGGGTCTTCTGACTTGGTTTCCCAATGAAAACACATTTTTCAATAGGAAAACAGCCATTTTTTTTAATAAATTTTGTCCAATTCTTTTTCGTCCTCTAAGCTTTTATGTGAAAAAGCAGCTCATATCTATCACCTTGACGAAGCCTGTCTGTCTTCCATAAAATATATATTGATGTTCTCAAAGAAATTTTTAACCTGTGAGACATCATAAAATTAAAATGACACTATAAATTGTGATGAGAAAGCTGAATCATGAAAACACATTGGATAAGTATGGTGGTTTCTAAACATTTTTGATCTATGAGCAACTTTGGAGATCTCTTAAGACCACTTGTGTGTTTGCATCTGGAGAGCTGGAAGTCTATCACGTTCTACAGATGCATAAACACGCATGCATACACATGCACATATACAGTAATTTTCTACATGTATTAACTATACCAGAACTGCATTTAAGGGGGCATCAATACACTTTGCTAAGTTATAATTATTAAATTACACTATAATGAAGGTTATTAATTACAACTGACAGTAACATAACATGAAATCATCTTATACCCAAAGACCTCCATTACTCTACCAGGTACTGACTTAGAAAATGACTTTACAAGCAGTAATCAGACGCTATGACCCTGTGACATATGCAGCTCCAAAAAATTACCAGAATCAATGACATGCATTTAAAAACAGATGCTAGAAATAAAATTGGTAGATTTATCTCACTATTTTGAGAGACAACTAAGTTGGCCAATTTTAGGCTTCATTTCTTAAAGACTTTGACTAAAATAATGAGACTTCTGAATTATCTTAAAATCATTTATTGAGCACAATATAAAGTTTCTTTTAATGCTATGAAGATTCAAGAGGGTAACTTCTTTAGTACATCAGTGCTGAGCACTATCTGAGCCAAAGCACCGCTGTTTCACAGGTTACAGGAACCTGTGACTGTATTTAGGATATTATTTGAAGTCATCAAAAATTAATGAAATGTTTACATTGGGTAGTAGACAGATCATCATATGCCAGATTATTTTCTATTTAATTTTTAAAGCCACAAATTCTTAAAGGAAAAATGGATATAAATGTTTTTGATCTGGATAATCCAAGCTAAAGAAAAAAATTTTTTCAACCCAAACCAAAAAAAAAAAGAAAAGCAAAAACTACTTGACAACCAGTATAGAATTTTTCCATAGATTTAATTTTGTTACACTAAAATTTATTTTCTTCTAAAAAGCAAGTGACCTCAAACTGCCAAGTGCTTTGAATTCAAACTCCTCAGGGTTCAAATAGAGTTAAATGTATTCTTCGATTCTTCCTCTGTCATCTGCTAAGCGCAAAATCATTATTACCTCTACTTTGCCAGAGAAGAAACTTGGTCTAAATGCTGGGATCAATCGATGGCAAAAAAACCCAGCTTAGATATTAGACTTTATCTTAGACTACCTATCTCTTCAAAAGGAGTATAATCACAAGCAAACTATTTTTAATGTCCCAGAGTTTCTGCTCCCTGATTAAACTGTCTTTGGTGTATATATCAAGTTTTATTTTTCAAGTTTCAAATCTTTTAAGCATTACCGCTAATCATTTGACCAAACAAATCAAAGGAATCATGAATTCTGCTATGCGTGCTGTAAGGCATTTGAAGTCAGTAAGGGGTATTTTAAATTGCTTTACTTCATGCACATCATTATGCTTCCCATTTACTTATTCAGAATAGTACAGTTTTTTCATCTAGGAAAAATAACTTTTATGTCAAATATCTTTAATTTCTAAGATATTTGTTGTAGAATTAAAAATATCTTTAGAGTAATTTTTTCTTAAGCCTATATCATAGACAACATTTTTGAGTTTGTCAACAATAAAATGACTTAAAACAGTCTCTATATTTTCTATATCTAGTAAATTTGAACACAAAGATTACAGGAACCATCTCAGATATCATGTTGCTTCTGTCATTATAAGACATTTACAAGAACATATCCAAGGTTCCTCAGCAACTCCATGAGCCCAATAGCCATGGATTTGAAAATTAATACAACTTAAAAATAGTTGCACAAAACAAGTTGCCCAATATTTATCCATCTTATTCTAAAGAAAGATTTCTTAGCCTTTTTAAAAGTAGAATCCATGGATTAAACTGGTTTAGAAAAAATATCTTATGTAGAAATAATATCATCTCTGGAAAAACCCTACCAATGTTCATTACTTTGATTCTTGAAGCTCACAGCACTCCATTTGTGCTAGGTACAATATTGGAATTGCTTTCCAAAGATTTTTTTTCCTTTGGTGTTTGTTCATTCATTTAACAAGGACTTACCAACTGCTTATCCATGCAAAGTAACCTTGACCTAATATTATATTAATAGTTAAACACACAGGTTGTGGAGTTTTCAATGCATGGCCAGCTCTCTCTGGCCATGGCAAGTAACTTAACGACCCTAACCTTCATCTTTAAAGGGGGATAGTAGTCTCTACCTTGTAGGGGTGTTGAGAATATTCAGAAGAGGTTATCCCTTTCCACAATGCTGAGGACTGAAAAAACACTTAAGAAATGTTAGCATTATTAGCAAATGATGGTGCTTACCAATTCCATTGAGGATTGCTCCTGCTGGATATACTTAGGCCTGGTGTGAAGCTTCAGGATAACCTAGAGTTTTTCAGCATCCTTGAAAGTTATATATGAATATAAGAACATAGTATAGAAAATATAACAGCTCTAATGGCAGATCTTTGAAAACCAAAATAAGAAAAGTCAGAGAACAATGAGGAAGTAAATCAAGAACTGCTTTTCTTTTTTCCCTTCATCTTCCTGAATCCAACATGGCCCTGACTCATCTCTGCTCCATTGTAGGAGAAAATTTAGAATAATTTTCATTTCTTGTCAGTTCTATTTAATCCCTATTGCCTTTGACTTCTCATATTGATTTATTTTTTTTGAATCACAGAAGTTTTTAAGGAAAAAGAAAACCTAACACAAGGTAATAGGGTAGCCCAGTGCACCAGCGCACCTGTCGTGGACACAGAAGAGAATTGTGAAATGGTCTGAACTGTAATGTCTCCCACAGTCATTGCTTTTTTTGTGATCTTTGGCAGGTGATAACTTCAGGTGGGATAACATTTCATGACCAGCTGTGGCATAAAGAGTGTTTTCTTTGTAGTGGCTGTAGGAAAGAGCTCTGTGAAGAAGAGTTTATGTCCAGAGATGATTATCCATTCTGCTTGGACTGCTACAACCATCTTTGTGCCAAAAAGTGTGCAGCCTGTACCAAACCCATTACCGGTAAGTTCTTCAGTTCAATATGGTCCTACCATGAGACAGTTATGATTATGTAAAATGCTATCTAATTAATTTACGAAATGCAAGTAAACACTGGAAATCTTTCATTTATATTTTCTTTTGAGATAACACAAGTGAGTGTCCATATATAAGCATAAATATTACATAGATCCCTCGTGGAAAGTACAGAGTATAATTTGAGTGGCAATACTGTGTAAAGAGTAATTAAATACTAAACCAAATGGCACTGATGCTAAACAAAGTAACAGTTAAGGAAAGAAGAGAATAGGATGAGCTGAAGGGTAAGAGACAACCTTAACAAGGAGGCCTGATCTGAGCCTCATTAAGTATTTGAGGGGGAGGAAGGAGTACTAATAAGTCAGAATTCTGCTTGATTCCAAATAAGGGCCAAGCAGACTTAAGATAGGAAAGGTTTTAATTAAATGCAAGTATTGTATAGAACATTTGAAACTGTAATAATTAGGGCAGCACAGGTCAGGAATTAATCAAGCTTTATTTTAAGATATTTCTAACAAATGTATTATTCTCTTTTCTCTCTATTCACTTGCAATGGGTTTTTAATTATGAATAGGTGAAAGAAAACAAGATACCATTTTATTGAAGAGACAAAACATATGTGACATAATTTGAGAATAAAATAAATGATAAATCAATTCATGTTAAATAGGTTTTCAAGATACACACACACACACACACACACACACACACACACACACACACACGTATTTTCCCCACAGATACTTCTAAAATGCTAATCCTATAATAAAAGAACTGAAGCTAGCATGACACTTGAGAAAATCAGCAGCTATTCTTTTTTGGCAATTTATAGTCACTTAATAATGCGGCAGAACTGTATTTCTATTCTCCATTTGTAGTATTTTCACATCATATTGCATTTTTTAGTTGTTTATGTAGCATAGAATTAAAGATTTTTTTTCTCTTTCCTTCTCTTTCTTCAAATACATAAAATAAAAGTTGTATCTTCATGCATCTTCCAACCAAAAGAAAGAGTTTCCCTGCAAACCCCAACTTGGCAGGCTTTCACTGACTTGCAAGAGGAGGAAGGGAGTCACCTGGACAAACACATGATCCTGTTTTTCTACACAGGGGCACCATGTTTTTCAGAATCTCACACTGGCCCATGGCCTACATCTGGCCAGCAAGCAGGTTATGTTTAGCCTGAACATGTTTGGAAACAACTAATATAAAATCCTTCTCTGCATCCAAAAGTCAATGAAGAGCCTGCCATGCTCTTCACAAGGTGCACAGGCTGCCTTCGCATTTCCCACAGGGGTTTCTGTCATATGGAGCTGAGCAGCTGTCCCGTTGCATGGGGCATGCCCTCTTGTCCTTTACACCCTGTCTCCATCACTCAGCAATGTCACCTCCTCAGCTCTTGCAAGGACTCGCATTAGCAATCCCAGACCGCTGGGCTCCAGAGCCCGTGCTGTAAACCACTCTGCTCTCCTGCCTTCTACAGCTTTGGCAACTTCTACGGCCAAGAGAACAAAACACCGTCTCCACCAATTTTAGTTAGAAAATGGAACTTCCAGAAATGCAACAGTACCTGGAGCTCCAAAATCTCCTTAGTAAAACCTGCAATCACAGTCAATTTATTCTACAACCCTTTTCTTGAATTGGGCCAGGAAAAAAAGGGGCTTCAAAGAGGAAATGAGAAAATTAAACAATTCAGAGTGGTTTTTGAAGCTCTCGGGGTAAACAAATGGCTAATACTGACCAACAAAAGGCCTACACAAACCCTGAACTTGAGTTTCAATTCTGATCAATCACAGGTTTATGTGTTTAATCAATTTTTTCTGATAGATTGTTTCAAATCAAACACTAAGCCCACCCTTTTAAATGTAGATGGAAAAACAACTTTGTTCTGCACAAAAACATGAGGATGATCAGGAACAAAAGATCTCACCTTAAAGTAATCCAAATACAGTTTTACATATTTAATTTAGGATAGTCATTCTGAAGGGAACTTCTAATAATTACCTTAATCTTTTGGTTTTGCGATTGAGACACCAGAGACGAAATGCCTGCAAAAACTTCCAACTCACTTTAATATTTCTTGACCTGATTTTTCAATATACATGGGCCCTGCATTAGTGTGTCTTTAACACTGAACTATTTGAACAAATGTACCATAGGAAATTGTGATACCACTACATATTTATCTTCAGAAAGTTGAGCTTTCACGTGAACGTTATATCACCTTAATAAGCTATGTGTTCTTGGTCAAATACAAAATTTCAGAGACAGGAGAAATGAGTTCAGGGGATCTATTGTACAACATAGTGACTATGGTTAATAAAAATGTATTGTATACATGAAAATTGCTAAAGTAGATTTTAAATGCTCTCCCCACAACAAAACAATAAGCGCGTGAGGTAATGGATATGTTAATTGGCTTGATTTAACCATTCCACAATGTATACATTGTATACATGAAAATTGCTAAAGTAGATTTTAAATGCTCTCCCCACAACAAAACGATAAGCGCGTGAGGTAATGGATATGTTAATTGGCTTGATTTAACCATTCCACAATGTATACATATATCAAAATATCATGTTATATACCATGTATACAATTTTTATTTATCAACTAAAAATTAACTAATTAATTTTTAAAAAGAAGCTAGTTATGCTAAAATGTTTTCAAAATACTATTTTATATTAACTAGATCTATGTATACATAACTAGGTATAATTTTTTGAATCCATTACAATGAACTTCCTTCATTTGAACAAACTCCAGGTATAACTACAATTTTTTCTTCTCCTGTAAGATGGGATTAACCTCTCAAACTATCTAAAATAAATGCAGCAGCTTAATGAAGTAGAAAGTGTTCTGGCCTGGGGAGAACCTTGGTCTGGCCTCTGCCCTGACTACTGTATGGCCATGACCATGACCTTGTGTAAACAAGTCATCTCCAGAGGTCCTTACTAGCCTTATTTGCAAAATGAGGAGTTGAAGAAGATCACATATTAGCTTTCTTCCATCTCTGTTTATTTTGAGGAGAAGAAATTTCAAACATTGTGGTTTTTTCAGAGAGAGTTGCTAATGTTCATGGTTATGTTCTTTACAAAAGATGAAGCCAAACTTAATGTGGTGAGGCAAAGAGCATAGGCTCTGAAGCCAGATGGCATGGGCTGGAATCTCAGATCTGCCACTTACAAGCTGGGTGACCTTGAGCAAGTGGTTGAATGTCTCTGTTCCACAATTTTTGTCTGCAAAGTGGGGGAAGATGCTAACATCTAACCCCATGAAGGTGAGGTGAGGGCTACATGAGGTAAAACATGTGAAGAGCTTAGCATAGGGAGTGGCACATATTCAAGTGCTCAACAAATGCCAGCTTTTATTCTACCGATTTCTCAGGAACAAATGAAGCAGATAAAACAGTCACCAGAGACCTGTTTCCTGGAAATGACCTTCATGACCTAAAGGAGTAAACATACTCAAATTTGGGAACAATTTGCAAACATCTCACACATTGGGGCAGGCATTTCTTAAAATCCTGCTGCCAGCTGCTTCTGTTTTTTCTTCTTTGTGAAATTCTAGAATTACTTTTACATTTGCCACTTGTACAAGGCTTTCTAATAAAATTTTAAAAACTCATGAGTATCAAAAAGCTAGACATGTAATAATTAGTTTTATGAATAGAGATGATTTATGTATATAGAAAACATTACTCTTGCTGTCAGCTTATTAATGTTTTGAATAACAAGGGAATTAATTGCTACACTGTTGATTTACTTTTATAAGAAAATAAAGATGATAGCATCATAAAAAAAGAAAGCTATAAATTTAATCAAGGAAAGTAGAAGATTTTGATGCAAATTTCTCTATGAACTACTAAATTTTTTAAATTTATTTATTGAAGTGAAACATAATTGATTATACATATTTATGGGATACAGAGTTGACTATCCGTACTTTCGTACAGTATGTGGTGATCAGATCAACGTTAATAGCATGTTCATCATTCCAAATAGTAATTACTCTTTGTGTCCCTTACCCAATTACTCCCTAACCTCCTACCCCTCCCCCTTTCCCACCTCTAGTAATTATAGTTCTATTCTCTTCTTTCAAAAGAACTACAAAATCGTATGTAACGACATCAAATAAGGATTTTAGTACAGAAACAAAAGTTCATTATCATACTTCAAGAGAATTTATTTGAAATAGACTGCTTATTCACCCTTTTTTCGCTTCACTGTCCCAAATGGAGTATTTGGAAATTGTATGTGAATCAGCACAAGAACTATTTTAACCTGATAAATGGGTGATAAGCAAACCACAGGAAGTCCACAACACTAAGATCACTTGGAGAAAACTTGTCAAATAAATAAAGAGCCAAGCCTAGATATCCCAACCCACTCAATCCCTAGACTTTTTCTCATTTTCTACAACTCCTCAAAATCAATTTCTTGAACTACACCCTATTAATCATATTAGGGAGACAGATCAGAGCCTTTGTGAAGACTCAAATTCTACTACTTTTTTAGGAACACTGTGGCTCATGTGAGTCCCAGGTTACAGTGGAGGGGACTGACAAGGCACTTCTTAGAAACTAATCACCGGACAGTGTGGCCTCAGCCACCAGAGTGATCAGATTCACAGATATTTGTTGCAACCCTAGGCTGAAGTTGTCTTTGGGCAAGGTAGTAAGGTCATCACATTAGGATAACTGTATGATCGTCTGGATGAAATTCTCTACTTGTGCTTTCTAGAAATTGTGTTCCAAACCACAATATGACCATGGGACTTATCCTAAGTAAAACAGAGCATGAAAAAGTGAAGGAAGAAAATAAAACCACAATTCATTAAAACATTAAATACCAGGCTAAGATGTGTACATTTATTTCATTTTATCTTCATTTTGCAGCTAAGAAAACTTATAGTCACACAGAGAAAGGTGAAAAATATTTATACTTATATATCTCTGACTTCAAAACCTATACCCTCTTCCCACTGCACTACAATGTATTTCCTTATCTGTCTTAGAAAATCCTTATCTGCTTCCAAAAATATGTGGTTTGTATATACAGATCCTATCAACTTCTGTAGATTATGACAGAAATTGGCTGGAAATCTGGTTGGATCACATATGGGGAACCTGCCTATGGCTGACATTCCCAGCTGGACATAGGGCTGAGGAGCAGCATTGTTTTGTGGGTTACCTACCTCTACATTGTCTTACTCACTGCCGTATCTCCAACCCCTAGAAGAGTACCTGATAGAACGGTCAATCTAGTCATTGAAAGAATAGATCATTCTTTTTCTCCAATTCCTTTGCAGGTCTCCGAGGTGCCAAGTTTATCTGCTTTCAAGACCGCCAGTGGCACAGTGAATGTTTTAACTGTGGGAAGTGCTCCGTCTCCTTGGTGGGTGAAGGCTTCCTGACCCAAAACAAGGAAATCTTCTGCCGCAAATGTGGATCCGGGGTGGACACTGATATCTAGAAGGAGAAAGTTCTTCCCAACCTGAAATCCACTTTGCCTTTGTCTCACTAAATGCAGAACTCAGCTGAAGTAGTACTTTTGAGTTAAATTTTAGAAAGTATTAATGTAGAGTTTATAGCAGAAGAGTTTTTCACACATTCTGATTGAATTGTACGCGTGTACTTCAAAAAGTTCATGGAAGGATTCGTATTATGTTTCAATTCATTTTTCCATGAAGCTTTTCAAGTACCCTCATATTCTTTTTTTTTTTTTAATTTTTATTTTGTCAATATACAATGTATATGATTATTATGGCCCATCACCGACACCTCCCGCCCTCCTCCCTCTCTCCCCTCCCCCCCAAGAATGTCCTTTCCGTTTGCTTGTTGTAACAACTTCAAAAAAAGTATAGTTGTTATATCTTCTTCCCCAAGAGTGCTGCAATGAACATTGGGAAACAAGTGTACCTTCGACTTGATGATTTCCATTTCTTTGGATATATTCCCAGCAGTGGGATAGCTGGGTCATATGGTCGATCTATCTGCAACTGTTTGAGGAACCTCCAAACCATTTTCCATAGGGGTTGCACCATTATGCATTCCCACCAACAATGTAAGAGAGTTCCTTTTTTTCCGCAACCATGCCAGCATTTATCTTTCAGCGTCTTTTGGATTTTTGCCATCCTAACTGGGGTGAGATGGTATCTCAGTGTGGTTTTGATTTGCATTTCCTGGATGCTGAGTGATGTTGAGCATTTTTTCATATGACTGTTGGCCATTTGCATATCTTCTTTAGAGAAATGCTTACTTAGTTCTTTTGCCCATTTTTTGATTGGGTTGCTTGTTTTTTTCTTGTAAAGTTGTTTGAGTTCTTTATATATTCTGGATATTAGTCCTTTGTCGGATGTGTATTTTGCAAATATTTTCTCCCACTCTGTTGGTTGTCTTTTAGCTCTGTTAATTGTTTCTTTTGCTGTGCAGAAGCTTTTTAGTTTGTTATAGTCCCATTTGTTTATTTTTCCTTTGGTTGCCCGTGCTTTTGGGGACATATTCATGAAGTCTGTGCCCAGCCCTATTTGCTGAAGGGTTTCTCCTATGTTTTCTTTAATAAGTTTTATTGTTTCGGGGTGTATATTTAAATCCTTGATCCATTTTGAGTTGATTTTAGTATATGGTGAGAGGTATGGGTCTAGTTTCAATCTCCTGCATATGGATATCCAGTTATCCCAGCACCCTTTGCTGAAGAGGGAGTCCTGACCCCAGTGAATAGGCTTGGTGCCTTTGTCGAAGATCAAATGGCAGTAAGTGCGTGGGTTGATTTCTGGGTGTTCTGTTCTATTCCATTGATCAGTGTCTCTGTTTTTGTACCAGTACCATGCTGTTTTGGTTATTGTGGCTTTGTAGTATAGTTTAAAGTCAGGTAGAGTAATACCTCCAGCTTTATTTTTTTTTGCTCAGCGTTGCTTTGGCTATTCTTGGTCTTTTGTTATTCCAGATAAATGACTGTATAGTTCTTTCCATTTCTGAGAGATATGTCATTGGAATTTTGATGGGGATTGCATTGAATTTGTATATTACTTTGGGTAGTATAGTCATTTTCACTATATTGATTCTTCCAATCCAGGAGCATGGGATGTCTTTCCATCTTTTTGTATCCTCTCTAATTTCTCTCAGGAGTGGTTTGTAGTTCTCGTTATAGAGATTTTTCACATCCTTAGTTAGTTCAGTTCCTAGGTATTTTATTTTTTTGGTGGCTATTGTGAATGGGCAGGCTTTCTTGATTTCTCTTTCTGCTTGTTCACTATTGGTGAATAGAAATGCTACTGATTTTTGTGTGTTGATTTTGTATCCTGCTACTGTGCTGAACTCTTTTATCATGTCTAAGAGTTTTTTTGTAGATGATTTGGGCTGTTCGATATATAGGATCATATCGTCTGCAAACAGGGACAGTTTGACTTCATCCTTTCCAGTCTGGATGCCCTTTATTTCCTTCTCTTCTCTGATTGCTCTGGCTAATACTTCCAAAACTATGTTGAATAGGAGTGGTGAGAGTGGGCATCCTTGTCTGGTTCCTGTTCTTAAAGGAAAAGCTTTTAGTTTTTCCCCATTCAGGATGATATTGGCAGTGGGTTTATTGTATATGGCTTTGATTCAAGTACCCTCATATTCTAAGGGCACCAAGTAAAGCACAGTCTAACAGAAATGAATATATACTAAATCAAAAATTGCACCTCTCCTTGCAAAATACTGCACTCTGCTGTTAGAAACACAGGAAAATATCTCTTCATAATCAAGTACATGACCTATCTGTGGGAGTGGTGGGTGTTATTACTGAAGAATGATGTTTTTCAACACTGCAGAGAAAAAGAAAAACTAAGATCAAATTGAAAGATATATATGAGACTAAAGTTTGCATTCTTAGGTAGCTACTTATGCATATAATGTGATAGATTGGCTATGAATGGTAGAACAATGAAACTGATCAGGGAAAATGGATTAGCAATCATCACATTTAAGAATTGTGTCACTGTTTAATAATTCTTTCATTTTTCTCACATACGGACTATTGAATTGAAAACAAAAGCTGTGACATGCCCTTTACCCACTGCTCCCACAGCTTGTTGGTCCCTGTGTTTAATCAATTAAATCTGAGACTTGTGGACACAATGGCTCTCATATTACCTAGGTGTAAAGGGGATCATTTCTACCTAGGTATGGGCAGAGTGTAGGTTTCAACACACTTTGTATTAAATGTATATTCAAAACAAAACCTACAATGATTTTTCTAAATGCTTACAGATTCCATAAAGTAAAAGTCTTTCTTTCAAGTGGAGCTAACCAGGATAATCATTGTCCCCAAAGGCAAACCTGTAAAGAAAATAGATCATTAAACCATCACTTGTGGAAATGAGTTTTAGGGAAGGGATTGAGTGTTGGAACATGACTTTCATCCAGATATCTAAAGACATAACAGAATGCATAATTAGCTCCAAGCCTCATGCATTTTTGCCTTCTAACAGTACATAGATGATTAATGGGCAGACATAAAAGTAGGCTTTAAAGAAATCTAGTAATAATAAGAACTGAATGAGAGTAATTCACTGCCGATAATTCAGGACCTGCAAAGCAGTGAAATAGAGTAATGTGGGATGTAGATGAATCCTCCTCACTTTTCCTCCCACCTGCACCACCCCCCTTACCTCAAGCCACCCATACCCAGAGCTTCAATCTGTTGCATGACCCGGAGGTGCACTCCTAGCCCTAAGCAGCCATTCTACAAATCAGTGTTTACTGGTCATAAAGGAAGTAACAGCCTTAGTGAAAAGTCTGTCACCATATGTTTATCTTTATACCAGACATCAGCTGGTGATGACCTACCTAGCTGCCCTGGGCAACATTTTCCACATTATTTGGAACAAATGGAAAGCAACCTCCGCTCTCCATGGCCAGTTGTCACACCTGGTTATGGCGTCTCTCGGTTGAGTTGAGGAAGCTCAGGAGAAGAAACCCAGAAAGATATAACACATTTTTAAGTGTCTACTCTCAGATTACTGCATAGCATTACAGGTTCTCAATGAAATCTAATTATAGGCTATGGCTGATTACAATGATTAAAATAGCATCACAGGAGATTCAATTAAAATTGTTATGGAGACAATTTTTGAAATAGTTTAAAATGCAAGGACATTCAGAGATGTTAACAATCATAGACACTAATAAAAGGTCAGGCTACACAGTCTATTTGAAAACTACCATTGTATTTGAGCACAAACAATGTCAAGGTATTTTGTCATCTTCGCGTTGTAAAATGCAAGCGAAACTATCAATATTTTTCTTTCCTTATATGAAATTGCACTGTAAAACTAAATATGTCAATGGTTCTATGATCTAGAAAAATAATAGTGCATTACATATATAGAAAACCAAGCCATTTGAAGTCTAAATACACACACAACATCTAATATTTTCTTTCTATTAACTAATTATAGATCAATACACAACATATAATGTATTCTTAAACAACAGGTAACGTTTAGTCATTTTGCTGTGTTGGAGGGTGAGTGTGCACATGATCAGGCTTGCATTCAATCTTCAAAATGAAAATCCACAGAATCTTTTTCTAGACAGAGATTTTTTTTTATGCTTTGATAAGTATAGTTAAGTATACAGTATTCTTTCACATATAAATAGTTCTATATTTAGAAGGTGGCTTAGTCATCAAACACATATTAAACATCCGCTATGCTCAAAGTTAAGAGTTCACGCTGGCGTGGTTCTGGGGTGGTGGGAGGGTAGATGAAGTCATGGCAGTGTGGAAGTAGCAGATGCAGAGATCCTTCCCCAGAGCTTCGACAGAGCGTCACTGTAGACATAGCACACGTGCAAAACAATGAAGAAAGAAGACCTGCTTAGACTGACACACAAAGAAAAATGTAAAAACCATAGGTAGATTTATATAGTAAAGAAAAAAGCTCTGTTTACTGACCTATCCAAAGATGGAACAGGCTGCCTCAGGAAGCAGTGGGCTCGCAGTGATTCAAGGATGACATCTGCACAGGCAGAAGTAGTTAGAAGCAAACCCTGTGTGCTAATAACAACCAGATGGTGCAGAAGTGGCAGAGAGACAGTGCCAAAGAGCAGGAAGAAATTAGATTGTTAGAAGAGAAAGGGTCAGAGGAAGGGAGAATATTAATTCTTGGGATAAAAGCTTTATGTATATCAGGCCACAGAAAGTTACCAACTGTTCTTAAGTAGAGGAGAAAAAGCATTATGACAGTGTTTGAGGAAAATTATGCTAATGATCTGTGCGGAATAGAACTGAAGACACCAAGGGTCAGGGTTAGGTTTGTAACCAGTAATATGTCTGGTTAGTGGCTACAGGAGAGAAAACAGAGAAGCAAAAGCTAAAGCAGGCCCTGAGCTATATTTGTTGATATTGGTGAGTGTACGAGTCAACTAATCCAACATTTTACATTGTCATTTTGGGGATTAAAGATAACAAAAAGAAGAGAAAAAATTGTTTTGCTTCAATGATAATGGGTAGGATGACCAAGTGTTCAATTTACACTTAAAATCATAATATTG